TCGGATCGCATAACTGACTTAAATATTGAGAAAGTATAAGTCTAACTTTCACTTTCATAGATCTATGCGTAAAGCACAAGAGGATCGACTCTCATAATTTTGTTGTTAGATATAGATGGGCGTATGTTTGGCAATCTTCTATTAATTTTGTTAATTACATGTACGTAATTGTAAGATAAGAAATATACAATTTTTTAAAAAGATGAATCAAATGCCTTACCCATTTTCTCAGTTTTTCAGGTCATGTTTTTATTAGTTATTTCATAATTTGAAATCTAAAAAGTACACTTTAACTATTCATGAATTACAGATTTAACATGTATATATCTAGTCTGAATTGCCTTTATACTAGTACTTATATATTTATTCTTTCATTGCTGCCCTCCCCTTTTCCTTCTAATAATTTTTTAACCAATAAGGACATAATTAAGCAAAGAGAATGCATATGTAGTTGAGCATTTAGAAAAAAAGGATAATGGTACTCATCATTTACATTGATATACCATACTTTACAAAATCCATATGTCGTGTTCATTAATAAAAGCGTAAGCCCCTGCCCCTTAATGCTGTCTCTTGGTCAGTCTTTTGAAGGCAAAGGTTGCACAAGTAAAATCAATATTCAAAAATAAATATTGATAGGAGCTAAAATATTTTTTGTTATTGCTGGTTTTGAAAGATTTGGGCTGAATTTAAGCGGTAAAATTGAAAGAGAATTTTACTTTATAAAAGACCTATCAATTATTTGTGATGTTTTTTCTAAGTCAGCGAATCATAGGACTATTTGAATGCCATTGACATATTTTCAATTAATATCAGAAAAGAATGATTTGAACTTTTTCATAAAAAAGAAAAAAATGTTTGCAACAAATTAAGCATACAGCTCACAAACTTTTTAAGCTCACATGGTTTTTCGCACTAATTAAGGTCACATAAAATTTACTATTTTCGAACCTCAGACGGATGACATAGCCCTACGTTATATTACATATACAATGTCAAGTATAAATGTCCCTTTAAAGTATTATCTTAAGTTTCCAAAGTGGATGTTTTAGAGGGAAATTTATCAATAAATGGTACGCTGTCTGTCCGTCTGTCTGTCCAGCCGTCTGTCCATCTGTCTGTGCAAACGTGTCCGGTCCATAGCTTTCTTACAGAGGGACATTAGAATCTACTACTCCACTCAAAGATTGCCCATGACCTAAGGGTGTGTCATGACCTTAACCCAAGGTCATTTGGGGAACATCAAGGTCACTGGAAGAAACATTTCATAATTTCCGGTCCATATCTTTCTTATGGATAAACTTGGTAGGTTCTCATTTCACACAAAGATTGCCCATGACCCAAGGGTGTGTCATGACCTTGACCCAAGGTCAATTGGGGAACTTCAAGGTCACTGGAAGAAAAATTTCATCATTCGTGTCCGGTCCACATCTTTTTTATGGATAAACTTGGTAGATTCTCATTTCATGCAAAGATTGCCCATGACCCATGGGTGTGTCATGACCTTGAACCAAGGTCATTTGGGGAAGTTCAAGGTCACTGGAAGAAAAATTTCATAATTTGTGTCTGGTCCATATCTTTCTTATGGATAAACTTGTTAGGTTCTCATTTCACACAAAGATTGCCCATGACCTATGGGTGTATCATGTTATTGAACCAAGGTCATTTGAAGAACTTCAAGGTCACTGGAAGAAAAATTTCATAATTTGTGTCTGGTTCATAACTTTCTAATGGATAAATTTGGTAGGTTCTCATTTCACACAAAGATTGCCCATGACCTTAGAGTGTCTCATGATCTTGACCCAAGGCCATTTGGGGAAGTTCAAGATCACTGAAAGTAAAATTCATAATTTGTGTCTGGTCCATATCTTTCTTATGGATAAATTTGGTAGGTTCTCATTCCACACAAAGATTGCTCATGACCCAAGGGTTTGTCATGACCTTGACCCAAGGTCATTTGGGGAAGTTCAAGGTCACTCGAATAAAAATTTCATAATTTGTGTCCGGTCCATATCTTTCTTATGGATAAACTTTGGTATTATCTGAAGTTTCCAAAGTGGATGTTTTAGAGGGAAATTTATCAATAAATGGTACGCTGTCTGTCCGTCTGTCTGTCCAGCCGTCTGTCCGTCCAGCTGTGCAAACGTGTCCAGTCCATATCTTTCTTACAGAGGGACATTAGAATCTACTACTCCACTCAAAGATTGCCCATGACCTAAGGGTGTGTCATGACCTTGACCCAAGGTCATTTGGGGAACATCAAGGTCACTGGAAGAAAAATTTCATAATTTCTGGCCCATATCTTTCTTATGGATAAACTTGGTAGGTTCTCATTTCACACAAAGATTTCCCATGACCCAAGGGTGTGCCATGACCTTGACCCAAGGTCATTTGGGGAACTTCAAGGACACTGGAAGAAAAATTTCATAATTCATGTGTGATACATATCTTTATTATGGAAAAACTTACTTCTGAAAAAACCAGCTGGGGGTATTTTGTCCTGTTTGGACAGTTTTAGTTTTAATCTGTGTCAGGACTGTTTATTTACTTACTCATCTATCTATGTGGAGTATTTCCTTATAACACTCCTTGTGAAGGGAAGGAAAGTTTCTCATTTTGTTGCAATTTTTATTTTCACTACGGAAAATACTGGTATCACTTATGATGTTTTTCACTATGAAAATTTTATTTTATTTTTGGGGATAAATGAATTTATACATTACTTCAATTTTCATTTTAATAATACTGATATGTAACAAATGAAGGTGTAAGTTAAATACACTGTAGTAGGTAAAGTTGTCTCTCTTTATATTCATCTCTTCTCTGCAACTTCTTTTTATAGGAGTTTCAAAAGAAGGTACATGTATATTGTTTTATACATTTGTGCATCAATCTTTATCACTTTCTTGTCATAAGAATTTTTAATTATTTCTTTTAAGATCTCCAAACCACTAAAAAACAAACAACAAGAGGCCCAAGGGCCTTAAAGGTCACCTGAGTATCCCGTAACATCTTTCCAACAATTGAATTTGATTCGTGTTTTAAACCAGAGGCAATGAAATTCACAATTTTGAAAGAGAAACCATTGCTTATCATCATCATACACTTAGCATGCTAACTTTGAATACTTAATACCCAGAGGTATATGAGAGCAACAAAGAGAAAATGAATTTCTATTTATAACCAGTTGTGCACCCACCCCACAGGAACCACTGACCCTAGGGCCACATATTCCAAAATATTGGAAATTTCATCATGAATTTTATTTCTTATTCATTGGTTAGTTTATCTAATGCCCATGAGCAGAGAAGAATTTCAAAGAATTTATGCATTTTCACTATATAATCTATATAGCCCCGCCCTAGCACTAGAACCTCTGACCCTGGGGCCATGAAATTCACAATTTTGGTAGAGGAAGACTTATTCAAGATAACTATGTGCTTGGTTGGTTTATTTAATGCCAAAGAGAGAGAAGAAGAACTTCAAAGAATTTATGCATTTTCATTATATAATTTATATAGCCCCGCCCTAGCACTAGAACCCCTGACCCTGGGGCCATAACATTCACAATTTTGGTAGAGGACTGAATACTAATTACAATCATACCAACAGTTTGACTGCTTGATGTCCAGGAGTAAAGTAGAAGATTTTTAAAGATTGCACTAATTTTAGTGGTTTTGGCCCCACCCCCAGGCCCCAGGGGGGCAAAGACCATGAATTTCACAATTTTTGTTCCCCTTCACTCACAGATGCTGTATGCCAAAATCGGTTGAAATTGGTTCAGCGGTTTCAAAGAAGAAGCTGAAAATGTTCAAATGTTAACACACTACGAACAACGACGGACGAAAACAGATAGCAATAGGTACTCAGGTGACCTAAAAATACGTGTGACTAAGTAATTGTGTTAAAATTTTTGATTATTAAAATGACCTTGTTTGATTTGTAATTTTTTTGTTCTTTGTTCAGTTCTCAGCAGATTTGCCCTCGGGGTACTCAGACAGTGTTTCTACTCCACCCCGTGCCACTAGATCCATCAACAGGGCCATCAGCCCCCCACTGGTAAAATCGTAGATGATTACTTCAAATATTAGACTAATTTATGCTTCTTGAAATAGTAATATCTTCATTTAATTACATTGAAATGATGTCCCTTTTGAAAATCTGACACCTTGATCTATTTGTTACAGGAGCAGAAAGTAAGTCAGATTATACACCTACAGTCAGACCTCGTTATCTCAAACTCAGTAACGTAGTATCTGACCATTCAAGAGGTTCAAGGTTAAAAAACATATACAATGTATACAATGATAAATGTTGCCTGGGCTGTTAAATCACTTTGACCTACATGTATTATTGGTATTTCAGATAACAAAGTTCAACAATACACGTATTAGCTGCACTTGTATTGCCTTGAGAGAAAGGGCTTTCTAAATCTATATACTTCTTGTACAGCTTCAGTGTTTTTCAGTTTAATATTTCTCTGTATTAAAATATCTTGTTTAAGTTCAAAAGGAAAAAAAATGTTCAAAGGATTAAGTTGTATTTTTGAAACCTATGTATGAACTTCCTACAGTGTTGCTGCCTACAAATTCTATATTCATTGCAGTCTCATTTCAGATTAGTGTATCTCTTCAAAACTCACAGAAATCCGATTGATTTCTGACTTTTACTACCTTGAGAGTAAAACATTTGAATTTAAAGAATTATTTATACCATGTTATTGTGGTTTTCTGTTGGTAGATTTCAGTTCTTGTTCTTGGCAGATATCTTGTCATACAATGTAGCACTTCTCGTGGAAAAGATTGCATCTATGTTTAATTTAGAATTACTGTTTAGTGTCACGTTTTATAAGTGTCCTTTGTGTACAATTAAACATAAAACTTGAGAATTTAAGTATATTAATTTTATGAACATATGAATTTCAGGTAAAATTAAATACCTAGTATTTATTTCTTGGAGTAGACTTTGGATTTTATTTTTATGTACTTTTTCTATTTCAGGTGTGCTGGACAAAATAACTTTCCACATTGACCAAAATGTGACCCTCATTCCCCCCTCTCCCATCCCCTCCTCCATACCTATCAGAGTATACCCAGCTGATGCTAATTCAGGTACAGTATAATTAGAAACAATCCTGTATAACATTCATGTACATATAAGTAATATGTTTAAGGTTAGGTGTATATTATTCAATGTACTATTATTATAAATTCTACATCTAACTTTTATTGCAGCTCCTCCTACTTGCATAAAAAGGAAGGGGGATAACCAAAATAAAGACTTCATCTATATGTTTTCTCCTGACAAGACGTAAGTTCACATACATGTACTTCTATATAAAGTCATTATAAAATAGTTTTAGGTGATTGTTTTCATAGCTGTGCATATTATTTAATTCTCTTGAGTATTGTTGTATTTTCAGACTGCCGAAACCAAAAAAGTGGAATGTGACTTCACCAGTAAGAAATTGATTATACTTTCATAGGTTAAATATGTTTGCAATGGCATTTTGTTTTAAATATTTGATAGAAAGTTAAACACACTTAAATAATGAATAAAGTTAAGCACACTTAAAAAATGAATTGATGCTTATAGGGAGGTGATTTTCATTCTTCGTGGTTTTTAAACATACATTTATTGTGAAGCTAACATATATCAAGAATTATGTTTTAAATTAAGCAAAGTCGCCTCGTCATGACACTTCGTTATAAAATTGTTTTACTGTACTTATTTTTCCCCCCTGAAACTAGGCTCCAGTGCCAAGGAAAAGTCTTGCTACACAGCAAGAGGATGATCTAGTTTCTCTACAAGAGTCAGACACCCTCATAGAATCATCCGTTGTCAGCAAGAAAGCAAATCAGAAAGCAAGCAAAGAGGAGTCAGGCACATCAAAAGAGTCATCCATAGTTAGCAAGAAATCAAACCAGACAGCAGGCAAAGAGAGGAGCAGCAAGACTAGTGAAGGGAGAAGATCAACAAGGCAGGGGAGAAAAAATGAAAGCTGACTGGAATAAAAATGTAAACAGACTTCTTACTATTAATCATGTGTATAACTGCTTCTGAATCAAATCATGCTATATTAATTTGACTGGCTAAAATAAAAAAATCAACAATAGTCACGTATCTCTGTGTGTATTTTACTGGATTTTCATAGGAAAAAATCTGGTTATTTTTAAATGGTTGAATAAGTTTATGGACGGCAATATTGGACAAATAATATTTCACAGGTACATGTATAAAGTACATGTATTCCTTGTGACAAGATCTTTCTTTGGGTATCACCAAATTTGATCTTTTGACCTTGAAGATTGTCATGATTTGAACAATTATATGTATAATCATATGGACAAACTTCAAGATTCATTCCTCGGCCATTACATCCTGCAGTGTGTATGACAAAAAGAAGTTTTTTATATTGCACATCATCTGTACATATACATATGTATTAAAGAGGTGCATAGTACTTGGATTTTGATTATTATATGCACATCATCAGTTTCCTTTGAAAATCTTCTACTCAAGAAAAGCAAAGCAATGATTGGAGATATTAATATGGAAGCATTCTTACGTAGTGTTAATTCAAGTTTCTTTATATCATTCCCCCAAGGACAGGATGAGGCCGTAATGGGCAATAAAAGTTTAATAATGAAGTGTGTATGAGCTTGCAAAATACACAGATTTAAGGTATTCTTGTTTCATTTTAGGTTTACTGACATCTTTTGGCCATTCTTTTAGAACAAACAGCAATCCCTTGCCAGCTTAGCTATGCTTTGTACAAATTTCATTTCAGTTCGAGGAATTTGGCTTGCAAGGAGATCCAAGTGTTTAGGTGGTCCACAGCCAAAATGTACCTACCAACCCAAATTTTTCATCCTGAGTCAGGATAGGGCAAGCAAATATCATTTTAAAGTTGGCCCAAATACCGTATGGTCAAGGCTTTGCTTTGTTTATCAGGATTCGGTTGCACGAACGCTTGTTAACTAGCCGTTAACTTTGCGTTAACGCGAGATTAAAATCAAAAGCGAGTTAAATCGGTTACACGAAGTTAACTACCAGTTAAACATTAGTTAATTCTGTGATTTAACTGACAGATTTAACTTAGGTTACATAGGTACATTTAAATATTTAATTAAACATTTAAATTAAAATTGTGTGATGATTGTTATCATTTCAAAACTTGTTTGCTGTGATAGACGAACTTATACAGAGATAATATTGATGTCTGACATGAGCAAAACACACATCTGATCCGATTACATAATTAGGGCTGTGTCAATATATTGATAGGTATATGTACATGTAAGTTGATAAAACGTTTAGATGATAACCTGCTCTGATATAACAGTTGAATTTATCAAGGATTTTTACGGCCAAAAATTGACCTTTTAATATTGACTAATAGATTTATGATGCTTATACATTTTTGAAAACCGTCTACAATGTCTACCATAGAGGCAAGTGAGGCAAAAGCCTCACTAAAATTTTTGAGTCTTTCATAAGTAGAAAAAATAATTTTGAAAAATAATTAATTGTACGTGTCCTTATGCTAAATTAATATTTTCAACTTCTGTAAATCGGTGATCCCACCAGATGCTTCAATATAGTTTAAAACGCACCATCGTCTCAAACCACGGTTCGGAATCCGCATATAGTTTTCACCTGAATGGAAGAGGATCGTACATTCTGTTTGTGAATTCCTACAATGAGAACGCACATGAAAAATAATTCAAAATATTTTTTTTAAAATTAAATTCTTAATATACTTAAATCCAGGCCTCGGACATCCTCCCCCGAGTGCCCCAACGAGGACAACGAGGCCCGCTTGGGGATCGGGTAGCCCCCAGTCCTTTAATTGCCTTTCTAAAATTCAGCTTAGTTACTACCTTGGCCTACATATAAATACTGGTCGTAAAAAATCGTGATCAACTATTATCAGAGCAGTTAACGGGTTATCATCCGATAAACAAAGCAAAGCCTTGACCATATGGTACTTAGTATTTGGGCCAACTTTGAAATAATGTTTGCTTGCCCTCTTCCGACTCAGGAAGACAAAATTCGGTCGGTAGGTGTGGTTGGTGTGATTTTTTTTTTCGAAGAAATTTTCATCATCAATGCTGAATTTTCCTTTTTTTCCCAGAATGAATAAAAAATAATTGCTTCCTGGTGGTTAAAAAAGTTTTGAGTCGCACGATTTTTAGCAAGTCGGTCTGGAGAGGACAACCAAACAATTTTTTAAAAATGGCCTTGTGTAGGCATTTTTTTCCCAAACTCCCTATCAGCTAGATTCCCAATTTTAAAGGCCCACCACTCTTTTCTTAAAGGCATATAAATAAAAATGAATTTGTTCTGAAAAGAAATATTTATAGATTTAAGGAATATATCTATGGAATATGAAGTCCCTAGTACTAACTGTTCATTTGTCCAATTAAGGTTCAATTTTTTAAAAGTTGGTCAAACTAAAAGGTCAAAAAGTAAAAAAAAAAACGTATCATAGGATGAAAGGCCTCAAAAAACATTAAATAAACATGTGAAGTACGAAAGCTTTAGCACCAGTTGCTTGAAAGTTATGGCCAAGGTTGATTTTCTTAAATCCATTGTTAAATTCTTGCAAAAGTGGGTCAAACCTCAAGGTCAAGACGTCAAATTTGGTGACTCCAAAAGAAAGGTCTTCTTACAAGGAATACAAATGTTAAATGTGAAGGCCATAGTATTAACTAATCAAAAGTTATGGGGAAGGTAAACGATTCCGCGGACAGACAACTAGATGGACGGAGATTGCTAAAACTATATACCCCAATTTTTTGACTACAGGGCATAAAAAGAAGCTGGATATTACTACGTGTGTGTGGTGGATTTCAGAAGGTAACAATTGGGAAACCTAAAGCACGGGATTAAACCCAATCATTTACGATCATTTAAGACATGGACACTGTGACATTACTTTTGGATCAACCCTCTTAATTTAATGATCACAGGTTAAAACTTATCAAAATCCTGACAACTGTCCAATAATTAGTACAGTTAAGCCAAAGTGCATTCACTTCTCGGGTGTTATCATAAATATAACTGATCCATATGATATTATAAGTATAAAACACGTCAAAGGGCACACAAAAATCGTTTTCGTCCCAGTTTTTTTTCACCCAATTATAAAGATACCGGCTTTTGCTTGGTTCTTTTTTACTCTAAGGAATTTCTTTGAAAGGTAACTGAAACACTTCATTTTCTTTAATTCTTTAAAAATTTGCAAAGCTTTGTTTTGACATTTTTTAACATTTAACATTTTTCACAAATAGTCTTGTATTGCGCATATATAACTATTAATTTTATTTATCATCTCGCTTTGAACATATATAGGTCATGGAGAGGTCGATCTATTTAAATGAAATTCAATTTCGTCTTTAATAGGATTCTACACTGATTCATCCTCAGGCATTCTTAATGTATTTCCCTCTTTTCCTGTCACTTTGCTTTGTTGCATCATCCTCAGTGGACCCCCCTGGATGGAACTTGTTATTTGGAACCGATATTTTGAATGAGACTTACAAAGAACCTTTAATATTTGATAACCCTGTACCAAAATGGATTAAAGGGTCTCTGGTAGGTAAATAAAATTATCTCCCATGTCGAATTACAATAGAAAATAATATTGACGAATTCACATTAATTTATCTTAATATGTTTTCATTTTCTGTAGATACGCAATGGACCAGCGCGATATGGAATGGGCGAACGCTCGTTCTTAAACCTCTTTGATGGGTTTGGAAAACTGTATTCTTGGCAGTTTTCTGGAAATGGGTCGGTTTTCTTCTCATCCAAATTCCTGCAAAGCGAGTCCTACAATGAATCATTAAGAATAAATGACATTGCGCCATACATGTCCTTTGATAATCTAAAACCTCCTTTGAATATCATGCAAAAAGAACTGGCACTAGCTCACGGTATGGACAACATGAACATCAACGTCTACAATTATTCAGGAGACTGTGTGGTTCTCACCGATACTTGGAAGTTGTATGTAGTCGACTGCTACACGCTAGACACTATAAGACCAAGCAAACCTACCATTCCCGGAGCAGAAACCAGTTTTCCTTTTGTTAGTCTGATGTCTGTGGCGCATCCGGTGCGAGAGTATGGTACAAATCACCACATTACCATTTTACAAAGCCTTAGTGTTCTCCCCGGACTTCCGCATAAATTCACCCTTGTCCGAACAAAGTCGGCTGATACTCGAGAAAAAATCGCTGAGTGGAACGTCAAGAAAATGCCGTATCTGCACACTATCTCGATTACAGAGCGGTACGTTATTGTCTTTGGCTGCCCGTTTTACGTAAATATCGAGAAAATGTTACAGTACACTGTTCCAAAAGAAAGTATTCTGTTTCATAAAGACGAGCCCACCGTTGCATATGTAGTGGAGATTAAGACGGGGAAAGTGGTAACTATCGAAACCGAAAACATTTTTACAATGCATCATGCTAACGCCTATGAACTAGACAAGGATAACATTGTATTCGACATTATATCTTATAATGACGCTTCTCTTGTTACGTTCTTTGAAATGGATAATTTATATAACAAGACGCGACGAGATGGATTCCCATTTAAACCTGCCCTAAAAAGGTATAAAATTGACTTGAAGGCAGGAAAGATGACATCCACGTCGTTTGATGTTAATCCTAAACTCCCTCATGTCAACACATTGGAGGTCCCCACAATAAATGAAAACTACAGATCAAAACACTACTGTTACATCTATGGTGCTGTTTTCAAAAGCGATTTTAAGACTTGGGGCAATTTTTCATTTGTCAAGAAAGACGTCTGCAACTCTACAGGCGACTTGTCTTGGTCCGTTCCAGACCATTATCCGATGGAGGGCTGGTTTGTTCCAGATCCGAACGGATCAGCAGAGGACGACGGAGTATTAATGGTCCCTGTGGTAGACGGGGATTTAGGCAAAAGTTACATTCTAATTCTTGATCCAAAGACAATGAAGCCAATCACCAAGGCTTATTTACCTATCATTGTTCCGTTCCATTTTCATGGAAGATTTATTGAGAATGTGTTCTAAGATGTTTTGTCATATGATATTCATAGTGCATAAGCAATGATATATCGAATCTTCAGCCTTTATAAGGTCCTGAGGTAGCCTCAATATAAAAATTATTTTGCCTTTAATTTGATTATTTATATATTGATAAATAAACATTTTAGGGGCACTTCAGATAGATAATGAAAACATTACCCTAATTTAATAATTAGAAACATAAATATACAAATGTAAATATACATAATTAAAATATATTTAAAAGTAAAAATCCAAAAATATCACAAAACATTTACTGCAAGCGCTTTCGCCATGTTCGGCTCTTCAGGCAGTTATACAAAATGTATAAAAGTATAGTAAGAAAATGCCATTTTAATTACACTGAAAAGATTGCAATACATATTGCAATACAGTTAAAAATATCGCAATATATCGCAATACGAAATCTCTGGCCAATACCCAGCCCTAAAAGAAAGATGTCGATAGAAAAGTCGCGATTATCATGAGGTTTTGTTTTTCGGTTACTATTATAAACGTCCTTATGTAGTAAAACATTCAAATTTGAAACAGATGTTTCTGACTCTGTGATCATATACTAGTGTTTCAAGTTCACTGAATGTAACAATTCGACATATGAATGGAGGTAATTTTTTATTTAAACCACCTACCCCACCCCACCCCAAAAATACAACAAATAATTGCCTATGATGTCAAAACGACTTGATTTTGATCTAAATTAAGGTTTGTTTGTATATATGGAGAAAAAGTTCGTACGTTTTAATATTATTGATTTAGTAAATATTATGATTTTGAAGTTTTTAAAAGTTCCTTTGAGCTTTTCAGTATCCCTGCCCCAGGATCATGAAACATCTTAAGTTTAAGTCAAATTATTCATGTTGAACTAGAATTTTGATTAAGTAAAGTAGACAAAAACTTAAATATTTTTTAATATTGCTTCACAAAAGGTTTGTTATCTGCAAAATTAGAGATTCATATTTATTAATTAATTCTAATTAATTATTTTGATAATAATTAATAAACATTTTACAGGCGATTAAAAATTTGACTTAAGTCTAAGTCTGTTTCATGATCATGGGACCAGGTCTGTTTTCCATCAGTTCCCAATTACATTACTGTAAAGCACAGCAGTACTGCTAAAATTCACTGCTGTTTATATTTTAGTGAGGAGCAAATAAAGAAGCTTAACAGAACAATAACTATCTTAGTTTGTTTGTTAGGATTTTTATGGTTAGGAATCTAGTTAAGGTATTGTAATACAAATTCATCAAATAAAAGGAATTATATTTCTGTAAACCATTTCAACTGTCACAATGGATATGTATTCTAGAAAAGTCGATGACAAAAAATTCTTTTTTATCATATGACTGAATAATGTAAAATTAATGATTACATTAATAAAGAATGTTGAGTGATATCTTAAAACTATATTTGATAAAGCTCGGTCACTAATTTAGTCACAGTGCTAAGTGGCGGGAAAGGGTGTACTTTTAACCAAGATAAAAATGTTTTGTGCATTTAGTTTATTAAAAATTGAGAAATGTTCCAATTTTATACCGATAAACTGATAAACATGATTGATTGGTCGAAATCGTTTTTAAACGCATTGTTCCACATTTCGTCCACATATAACCCATTATGTTAAAATGAATATTAGTACATGCAGATTATTTGCAGTAATTGCTAAATGGGTCTTTTTCTTTTTTTCTAGCGGCATAGAATTTAAAATACCATATTAATATTGAATTCCGAAAACATCCTTACAAACAAAGATACATAAAGGGCTCCAGTAAATGCGACCCCAAGCCTCTTTTTTGCTCCTCACTAAAATATTAACAGGAGTGAAGGAGAAACTTCAAAAGCACTGTGCAGTAATATACATATGTATTTCAGAATTGGTGGAAATCAGATATGGATACTGAGAAACTCAAAGGAACAAGGAAGTGATACATTTTTACTAAAATCAATGACACCAAAAACGTACGACGTTTCCTTCTTTTATATACAATTATTCCTTACGATGAATTACAGTCCGTCTTTTTGCTCCAAAGATACTTGTTTTTTTTTTTAGATAAATTATAGAACTAGTAAATTCATCTACCTTGCTTTGGCTTTAAACTCGATTTTTTTTAGTATATCAACGACCCATAAACAATTAACATTAGTTATTTCTATACATTGTCGACATGAAATGTCCTGGTGAATTTAAAATAAAAGATACCACGAAGCCATCTTTTCAAATATGAATATTCTACAATAAAAGACATTAATGATAATCTAACAGCAAATCAAGTTAAATCCACACAATGGGTTACATGCATATGTTTACATCACGTTCTACATTGTCAAAATTTTACAAAAAAGTGTGTCTAGTTTACACTCTGCTAAACCTTTTGACTTCAAAATCAATAGACATCCCCTTTAGGCCTTTAGAGAGTTGTCGCGTAGAAATTAATTGCAAAAGTCCAAAAGTTTCTTGAAATATCGCTTGGAAATGAAAGTGTAATTATAGACAGACTGTGACAGTCGAACGAAAGGACGAACAGAAGGGCGGAGGGGGACGGAGGGGACAGAGGGAATTATGGTATAACATTTAGTTGCAAAAACTCATTTTGACCTCAAATTTAATTGGAGTCTTCTTTAAGCCATAGAGAGTTGTGCTTTAAAATATAATTGCAAAAGCTAAAAGGTTAATCGAATATCGTGCGGAAACGAAAATGTTAAAACAGACAGAATTTTTTGGATTTATGACTTTGAACATTGACCTTTTGACCTCAAACTCAATAGGAATTGTCCTTAGGTCAAAAGAAGTTAATGTGTAAAATTCCATTGCAAAAGCTCAAAGGGTTCTCGGGATATCGCGTGGAAACGGACAGACCGACCAAATTAATGCCATCCACTTTCAGCGGGGGCAGGGGGGGGGAGGCAAAATATCAATCGATGAAAATTCTTGTATAATTCAAAGAAGAATATTCAAAAATCCAAACTTGTTTTGGTGTTTTGGAGTAAGTGTAAATGAAATCCAAATTTGTTTTGGAGTAAGTGTACAAGAGTATAACAGACATTAATGTTCCGGTATTTGAACTCTTCAACTCCAGGAAAAGAGCATAAGTTCAAACTATGTGGTGTATGTACTTAATTGTGTGTGACTTAAATCTACATGTATTCATTTTTTCATTTGTATATATACCTCATCTCCCCACTCTCTCTCTCTCTCTCTCTCTCTCTCTCTCTCTCTCTCTCTCTCTCTCTCTCTCTTCCACTCTTCCACTCGCTCTCCAACTATCCCCTCTCTCTCTCTCATAACTGTCTCGAGCTGTCTCCCACACACGCTCTCTCATCACTCCCTCTCCCCCCCTCTCTCTCTCTCTCTCTCTCTCTCTCTCTCTCTCTCTCTCTCTTCTCTCCCCTCTCTGTCTCCCCACTCTCTCTTCAATAGTAGTGGAGGAAGCTGTCCCCTACTCTTTCTCTCTCTCTCTTCCCACTCTCTCTCAACTCTCTCTCTTTCTCCCCTCTCCCCACTCTCTCTCCAATAGTGGTGGAGTAAGCTGTCCCCCACTCCGATCAGGAGTAAAGAGTCTCCCACTCCAACAAGGAGTAGAAAGCCTCCCCCACTCCGACCATGCAGGAGTAGGAGGCATAGGAATAGCACAGTTTTTTTCCATATCCTATGTCTCCCTCTCCCATCATATTTTCTATCTCACCACTTTCTCCCTCATCCCTCTTTCTTACCCTCTCTTTTTTTCTATTTCTGCTTCACAACATTTCTCTACGTGTTTGTTGTAGAAAACTTTATATACGGAAACATCATTAAAAAGTAATAGTGTTTTAAGGACAGATGATACAAACAATTTGTTTTCTTTGGAAGAGACTAAATATCATGTCACAAGTTTAGAAAGGTGGATAATTCTTTGATATTTTTCTCCTAAGAACTGGAAAGTGAAATAGACTTCGAAAATATTAGTAATATTTCAATAAAAAAACAGATATAGACAAAAAAAAAACATTCAGTAAAGGTTTACAGGTGAAAACAAATTTCAGAATATGTTACCTTGGTGCTAAAAGTGTAATATAAACTTTAGAAAAATATACCAAGCCAGATGAATTTCATAAGGAAAAACAAAATTATAAAAAATCAGCAATAGCTGTTTTTTACCATTGTGCTTTTCCTAATAAAATTAACCTGGCGTGGTATATTTTTCTAAAATTTATATTACAGTTTTAGCGCAAAGGTAACATAATTACGTAGTAAACCATAACAGTCCTTTTGCAACGCATACAAAACGTTTACGCTAAGAATAGAGCTATTGAACCACTCAAAGTGCCATGTGCGATCCCATTCCTACTAAAACATTGTATGTATATGTCAGATTTTCAGTTTAAAATTGTTTTGCAACTTTTATCACTAATTAAAAAAACTGTGTACATTAGATAAACCTACATTATTATTCACGTATGGGTTGCAATATTTACTGTAATTTATTCATATGATATGACAATGAATATAAAACTTAATTTAAAAGACTTATATCGATAGTGAACATGTAACTAAATGATTCTAATTCCTTTTATCGTTGGAGTGCATGTTTCTGGCCATAAAGGATTTGATATATGTATTACTAGTTTTTGGTTTACTCTACTGACGATTTGGTGTTCACTAAATCGCCTCTGGTGTAACACTGCCGCCTTTGGCTTTGCGGGATCTATCTGAATGGGGTGTCAATTGGTTGGTAATTGGACCAATCAATTATATAGGTTTTTTCTAAATTCCAAATCATTCTGTTAAGTACTGAAGTTATGGAGAAGGCGGGGTCAACGCAATTTTTTGAAAATGTTTTACGGTAGATTCAGGTGAGAGAAATAAAGTCGGTGTGTATGTGATGTAATTGCTGGGAAGAGGGGGTGAAGGGGGGAGTTTCATTCAGTCGACATAAAAATTTCATGAAACTAAGACTCCATTTTATTATATTCTTAAAATATGAATTATCTATAAAGATTATAAGACAGATGATAAATTAAAAATCACATTGAAATCCGAGGCAGGTGCGAATTTTACTAAC